TTGTTATATACTTAGATTCAGAGGGAAGAATGTGCCCTGGAAATGATCTAGGTGAGCCTTCAGGATCTGCTAATTTTCTTTATTCCCTCGCCTCTGCTCCCCACATTGCATCACTGGCTTCCTGATAGATGCACCTTACAGAATGGAAGTTCAGTAGCTGTTTTTAGTATCTTTGTCATGTGAAGAAAGCGTTGTGGTTGTTGAAAAAGCCAAGGTCCCACAATGTGATTTAGGCTCATTGCAAACAGACATTTCTTCCCCCTAAATTCCCTTATGTTGTCAAGTAATTAAAACTCAGAGTTTGCCGTGTTTTCAGTCTGCTCCTATTTGCTTACATTTATTAACCGAATATTCTAGTTCATTATATGTTTCAAAATGGCCTCAATTAATTCGGAAAAAAAAAAAGAAACCCTGCCATTTGGGTCTAAGGCCTCTCAACCAGAGTGCATGCTTCTCTGCCCTCCTTACCAAACAAGGAGCATCTCCTTGACCTCTCCTGCGCCTCAGCTCCCCATCCTTCTGCCTTCCCCAGTATGGGATGCTTCAGGCATGTCAGACACAAGGAACTCGGGCTGTATCTCTGCCTCTCTCCTATACACAACAGACAATTAAATCTTGAGGACCTCACTCAAAATTTTGATCATTAAAATTTTTTTCTGAGACCAGATGTGGTGGTTCACACCTGTAATCCTAGCACTTTAGGAGGCCAAAGAGGGTGGATTGCCTGAGCTCAGAAGTTCAAGACCAGCCTGGGCAACATGATGAAACCCCGTATCTTTCAAAAATACCAAAAATTAGCCGGTCATGCTGGCATGCACTCGGGGTCCCAGCTACTTGGGAGGCTGAAGTGAGAGGATCACTTAAGACTGGGAGGCAAAGGTTGCAGTGAGCCAAGATCATGCCACTGCACTCCAGCCTCGGTGACAGAGTGAGACCGTATCTCAGAATAAAAATAAGAATAATTTTGAAATGCCAAAAAGCATAATAACAAATACAAAATTCAGCAGCAATCTTTTTACCCACAGGCATATCCGTGTATGTGTGTTTGTGCGTGTGTGTAAACACGATTTGATCATATGTGTAGAGTTTTGTGAACCTTTCTCCCTTTCACCCAGCTTCATTTTCCTCTACCCTCCTTTCAAGACTATCCCTCCATTTATCCACTTTGCCAGCTCCTTTCTTCTCACCTGCCTGAGTGCCATCTGCTTGCCTGGATTGGGAGACTTTTTAATAGAATTTTCATGTCTGCTTGCTGCCCTCTGGTGGGTTTATTAGGGTTTATCACAAACACTGTGGAATTCACTCTGGCAATGACCACTAACATAAAATTCCGGTGGTTCTTGGGTGTAACTCTCCCACTAAGGAATCAGATCTTTGACTTCAGGGAGTCAGAAATTTTTTATCGGCTTAGACAATAGAAAAGTGTCTGGAAAATCCCCAAATATTTGGAAACAAAATAACAAACTTCTAAATGACCACTGGGTCAAAAAAGAAATCAAAAGAAAACTATGTAATATTTGAATTACATTAAAATCAGAACAAAATATCAAAATGCACGGGATGCTGCTAAAGGCTGGGGGAAATTTACAGAACTAAATGCCTCAAAGGAGCAGGGGTGGGAGGGGCAGGAGGACGGGATTCAAGACGGCCTGAGAAATATTTTGGAGTTAATATATATGTTCACTATCCTGACTGCAGTGATATGTATACAGTCACACATCACTTAATGACTGGCATAAGTTCTGAGAAATGCGTCGTTGGTGATTTTGTCATTATACCAACATCACAGAGTGTACTATGCAAACCTAGATGGTATCACCTACTACACACCTAGGCTGTATGGTCTAGACTATTACTCATAAGATGCAAACCTACAGAGCATGTTGCTGTATTGAATATTGTAGGCAACTGTAACACAATGGTAAGTATCTGCATATCTAAATATGTCTAAATATAGAAATGGTACAGTAAAAATACAGTATTATAATCTTATGAGATTGCTATCATATATTGGTCTGTCATTGACTGAAATGGCACATGAATATATATATGAGTGTGTTCATATATCTGTCATATATGTGTCACATATATGTCAAAATTTATCAAATTACATGCTTCATGTGCCATTTGTTGTATATCAATCATATCTCATTAAAACTGTTTTAAACAGCATGCAGGTGCACTATTAGGCAGTACAACTCAAGTGTAACTACTAAGAGAATACCCAAAGCATGTATAATTAACAAGCTAATAAAGGGGTAAGATGAACTTGCTAAAATTACTTAATTCATCTAAAAGAAATTTAGAAAGTAGAGAAAAGTGAACTGATGTGACAAATAGGAAACAACTGGAAAGACAGATTTCAGCCCAATTATATTGGTAATTACATTAAATGAAAATAGACTAACTACTATAATTTTAAGAAAACTTTCCAGAGTATATTTTTCTATAAGAAAAGAAAAACCTGAACAGTACACCACTTACAGCACACGTAATTCAAGTATAAGAACATCCAAACACTGAAAGTATAAGGATGGAAAAAGATGTACCAACTGATATCATTATACTAACATCACATAAGGCAGACATAAAGGAAAAACCCAAATTTAAAATGAGAAATTGACAATCCACAGTCAGTGTAAGATGTTGCCTTCTTGATAATGGGTAAGAAAGACAGACAAGCAGTAGAGTTATACAAGATTTGAACAACACAATTAACCTTGACTTAAATAACATAAAATCAATTGTTAGTGCCTTTCTTTCCTCTTTCATAAAGTAGCCATAATAATGATTCCTGCATGTGAAGGTTATTATGAGACTCAAACGAGTTAATACATGTAAACTCTTAGAACAGCTCCTGGCATGCAGAGTAAATACATAATAAGTAGGAACATAACCGAGAAATAAAATAGTAAGAATATTGCTTTTATATAGTGGTTATATAAAAATATCAAATTGGCCGGGCGCGGTGGCTCAAGCCTGTAATCCCAGCACTTTGGGAGGCCGAGGCGGGTGGATCACAAGGTCAAGAGATCGAGACCATCTTGGTCAACATGGTGAAACCCCGTCTCTACTAAAAATACAAAAAAAATAGCTGGGCATGGTGGTGCGTGCCTGTAATCCCAGCTACTTAGGAGGCTGAGGCGGGAGAATTGCCTGAACCCAGGAGGCGGAGGTTGCGGTGAGCCGAGATCGCGCCATTGCACTCCAGCCTGGGTAACAAGAGCGAAACTCCGTCTCAAAAAAAAAATAAAAAAAAAAAAAAATAAAAAATAAAAAAAAAAATATCAAATTAGCCAGGCATGGTAGCTCACGCCTGTGAGCTCCCAGCACTTTGGGAGGCTGAGCTGGGCAGATCACTTGGGGCCAGAAGTTTGAGACCAGCCTGGCCAACATAGTGAAATCCCCATCTCTACTAAAACTACAAAAAAAAAAAAAAAAAAAAAAAAAAAAAAGCCAGGTGTGGAGGCAAGCACCTGTAATCCCAGCTACTCAGGAGGCTGAGATGAGAATCACTTGAACCCAGGAGGTGGAGGTTGTGGCGAGACGAGATTGCACCACTGCATTCCAGCCTGGGCAACAGGGCGAGACTCTGTCTCAAAAAAAAAGAATTAAATAACAGAAGAGACAGCTTTAAATGTTCAAAATGGGACCACAGGGAGAGGGACTGGAAGTGGGGAGTAGTGAGATCTCCCACTGGTGAGCGAATGCTGCCGTCTCCTCTTTCCCAGTCAGGAGTCTCAGGTAATACCTATTCCTTATGCCAACTAGGAAATCACTGACTTCCTGCCAGTCATTCATAGTCGGCTCCATTCCCTTCCCAAGGTTCCCAGATAGAAAAGCACATGTGCAGTGAGGCTCAGATATCAAAGAGCTCTTTTATATTATCCTAAAAATCCGTGATCTCTAACCCGGGCTCATTTCAGAATTCTCCCTAAACAGCCTGAGCGTCTGTAGTTGAATCAGCAGCGGGGCACTCTCAGAGCATCCTGGCCTTCAGCGTGAATGGCACCAAATTGCCCACTTCAGTCATTCCTAAATGACATTGACAATGTTTGTCATATTCCTTATCGCTGGTTCTTTAATTTACTGTATTTTTAATTGGCTGCCTTTACTGAAATAAACATTTGCATGAACAAACTTTTTTAAAAGAACACTTTATATCACTACCACAAATGGAAAAACATTACATTTGCCACAAAAGAGGAACTGTAAAACTAAATAACATGAGAATGTAACACCGTTACTAAATTCCAGCTAGACACTATTACCTACTCTATTGTCAATAAGGGGAAAATGCATGTTTTGAGACATGATAAGATGTATTAGTACTGGCCAGGTGATCCTAGCACTTAGGAGGCCAAGGTGGGCCGATCACTTGAAGTCAGGAGTTAGAGACCAGCTTAGCCATTATGATGAAACCCCTTCTCTACTAAAAATACAAAATATTAGCTGGGCATGATGGCACGCACCTGTAACCCCAGCTACTCAGGAGGCTGAGGCAGGAGAATCGCTTGAACCCGGGAGGTGGAGGTTGAAGTGAGCTGAGGTCATGCCACCGCACTCCAGCCTGGGCAACAGAGCGAGACTCTGTCTCAAAAAAAAAAAAGGATCTATTAGTACTGACGGTGGGTTTTTTTCCTTGAGGTAAGGGAATCGTGAAGAATAACTTTGCACTATGTGAGCCATTGTCGTTTAGTGCCTAATGTCTGCATACCACCCAGTACCCCCTGCGGCTCCTCCACAGTTATAGGGTCCCGCACTATAGGAAGGCAACGCATTTTAGCTCAGAGTTCAGGTCTCCAAACCTTGTCTAAATACCTCCGCCGTCCAGTCATACCAGTCTACAGGGAACAATAAGGGATGAATAACCAAAGAGAGGGTGGGTAGATCCCAACTGACACTGGGTCCACTCAGCCCACTGGTGTCTAGACAGAGCACAGTAATAGTGTTCATCCCTTCTCTTGTCCCCAAAGCTCCTCTGGAAATTCCAGGCTTACCTCAATATTCCCAAGATTCAAGTGGCCAACTCGAGGGCTCAGGCTGCCAAGGTCCAACCTCACCCGCCCTGAAAGTGGACACACCCAGGGGCTGCTCCTGGAAGGAAGAAGAAGAGACGGTGAGTAGAAGCCAATGTCAGCCGCTCTGGCTGGGCCCTCCTCCTCCTCCTGACTTGACCAGCAGCCCATAGCCTCTGGGCAAGAAACGAAAGTCGCTGTGAGCAAGCAGGGTCCGACTTCTAGAAGCAGCGGCGGAGGAAAAGGGCCTGTGTTTTACTCTCTGGAAAGCAGTCTGGAGAGGTGGAACCAACCTCGACTTCAGTATCAGACAGATCTGGATTCAAATCCCGGCTCTGCCTCTCACTTGCTGAGGAATCTAAACACCTTCTTCTGCTTCACTCAGCCTCCATCTTTCCACGTGGGAAAGATAAGGTTGCTGTGGGGAGCGAGGAAAGCAGTGTGTGCGGTGCTTTGGCTCAGACAGCGACGCTCTGTGAATGCGGAGTCTCTTGCCGGCTGGCGTTCCTCAGGCAGCCCCAGTCACCTTCTTCTGAAGCTGTTGGCGGGGCACGGACAGGCAGGAAGCTCAGAGCAAATAACCAGCCTCCCAACCAGCTCAGACACAAGGTGAAACAGAAAGCAGCAGCTCAGAGCACGTGACTTACCTCCTCCAAACCTTTGCTCCGGCCATGCCACTCCCCAGAGAACGCCCTTCCCGTCTCCTCCCACCCGCTGTGGAGGGTGCCCATGTTCTCCACCGTTTATCAGGCGCTTGTTTCTTACTGCCTGGCACTGTAGATTGTCATTTATTAACTAGTTTAGTTTATTCTTTGAAAAATAAGTTTAGAGAGAGATCCAAGATGGCTGATTACTAACAGCTCAGGACTGTAGCTCCCAGTGAAAGCACGGAGAACGAGAGGATGCCACACTTTCAGACGAATTTTTGTTGCTCACGGACCAGGAGATTCCCAGCAGAGGAGCCCCTCGGGTCGCCAGCGTGACTCTTGTGGCCGGCTCGGAGGTTTTGCCGGCGTCCCTGCGCGCGGTGGTTCTTGGTGCAGAGTAAACGGAACCGGGTCCCCTTTTGGTCAATGTTTGGAGCTCCCGGAAGGCAGAGTCACCTATTCAGCTGATTGAAAAGGGGACTCAAGAAGGAAGCCAGACCGGAGATTCCCGGGCAGAAAAGCACCACGAATCTTAACCCCGCTGTTTTGACTGGGGCAGTGGGTTGCTCAGATTCCAGCACCGGGAATCAACAAGCTGGACGTCCACTCAGAGACCTAACTTGAAAGTCGGTAATTACAAAGACAGCAGGTGGATAAATTTACAATGATGGGAAGAAACCAGCGTAAAAAGGCTGAAAATACCCAAAATCAGAATGCCTCTCCCTGTACAGGGGATCAGAGTTCCTCATCAACAACGGAACAAGGCCTGATGGAGAACGAGTGCGTTCCATTAACAGATTTAGGCTTCAGAATGTGGATAATAAGAAACTTCTGTGAGTTAAAAGAACAGGTTCTAGCCCAATGTAAAGAAACTAAGAACCTTGAAAAAAGGTTTGATGAAATCCTAACGAGAATAGACAATCTATAGAGGAATATAAGTGAATTAATGGAACTGAAGAATGCAATACGAGAACGCCACGAAGTATGCACAGGTTTTAACAGTTGAATTGATCAAGCAAAAGAAAGGATATCAGAGGTCGAAGACAAACTTAACGAAATGAAACGAGAAGACAAGATTAGAGAAGAAAGAGTAAAAAGGAATGAGCAAGGTCTCCAAGAAATATGGGACTATGTGAAAAGACCTAATTTACGTTTGAAAGGTGTACCTGAATGTCATGAAGAGAATGAATCCAAGCTGGAAAATATTCTTCAGGATATTATCCAGGAAATCTTTCCTAACCTAATAAGGCAGGAAAATACTCAACTTCAGGTAATACAGAGACCACCACAAAAATATTCCTCAAGTAGAGCAATCCCAAGACACATAATCGTTAGATTCACCAGGGTTGAAATAAAGGAGAAAATTCTAAGGGCAGCTAGAGAGAAAGGTCAGGTTACCCATAAAGGGAAGCCTATCAGATTCACAGCAGATCTCTCAGCTGAAACCCTACAAACTACAAGAGAGTGAGGGTCAATATTCAATATCCTCAAAGAAAAGAATATTCAACCCAGAATCTCATATCCAGCCAAATTAAGCTTCAAAAATGAAGGAAAATAAAATTTTTCACAAACAAGCAAACACTCAGAGATTTCATCACCACCAGGCCTGCTTTACAAGAGCTTCTGAAAGAAGCACTATACACAGAAAGGAACAACCAGTATCAGTTATCCCAAAAACTTACCAAAAGGTAAAGAGTATCTCCATAATGAAGAATCTATATTAACTGATGGCCAAAATAGTCAGCTAGCATTAAACGACAATATTAAACTCACAAATATCAATATTAATCCTAAATTTTTTTAGATGGATTAAATGCCCCAATCAAAGACAGACAGACAAATTGAATAAAAAGTCAAAACCCATCAATTCACTATATCCAGATTCATCTCAATAAGCAAGGACACACAAAGACTCAAAATAAAGGGTTGGTGGAAGACTTACCAATCAAATGGACAGCAAAAAAGAAAAAGAAAAAGAAAACAGGAGTTTTAACTTTCATCTCTGACAAAATAGACTTTAATAGTAACAAAGACTAAAAGAAACAAGGAAGGACATTACATAATGGTAAAAGGATCGATGCAACAACAGGAGTCAATGATCATAAATATACACGCACCCAATATAGGAACACCCAGATACATAAGACAAGTTCTTAATGACTTATAAAGAGACTTGGACTCCTGCACAATAATAGCGGGAGACTTTGACAACACATTGTTAATATTCGACAGATCAACAAGATAGAAAATTAACAGGGACATCTATGATTTGAACTCAGACCTGAAACAAGTAAACTCAGTGAATATTTATAGAATTCTTCACCCCATGTCCACAGAACATACATTTTTCTCAGTATCATATTACACCTATTTTGAAAGTGACCACATAATTGGAAGTAAATCACTCTTCAGCATTTGCATAGCATCTCACAGACTTAAATGAAATATTGGTTGGCTGTTTGTTTGTTGATTCCTTCCCTTATTCCTTTCTGTCTCCTCTGTTAAGCACAATTATTGGCATAAAAGAGGTTTTTAATACCTATTTTTAGATTGCATTCTAGCCTGGGCAATAGAGCAAGATTCCTGTTCTCTCTCCCCCTTTCTCTTTCTCTTTCTTTCTTTCAAAAATAAAAATAAAAATAAAAAAGCAAAGTCTTCCTGGAAGAAACAAAAAAAAAAAAGAAAAAGAAGTTTAAAAGAAAAATACCGGCCGGGTGCGGTGGCTCAAGCCTGTAATCCCAGCACTTTGGGAGGCCGAGGCGGGTGGATCACGAGGTCAAGAGATCGAGACCATCCTGGTCAACAAGGTGAAACCCCGTCTCTACTAAAAATACAAAAAGTTAGCTGGGCATTGTGGCGCGTGCCTGTAATCCCAGCTACTCAGGAGGCTGAGGCAGGAGAATTGCCTGAACCCAGGAGTCGGAGGTTGCGGTGAGCCGAGATCGCGCCATTGCACTCCAGCCTGGGTAACAAGAGCGAAACTCTGTCTAAAAAAAAAAAAAACCTATTCATACACACAAAGCAGTAGTTGTGTCACTGTATCTATTTATTTGAAGGACTGATTTTTTACAAAGTGAAAACCTCTCCCGCGGCCCTTTCAATGCTTCCTTGCAATCACCATTGTTGACATTTTGATTCTTTCAGACTTTTTTCCTGGACTTATAAAGCCATAGTAATTCTTGCTCTGCCACTTACTAGCTGTGTGACCTTGGGCAAGTTACTTAATGTTTCAGGGCCTTCCTTGGCTCATTCATAAAGTAGCTATAACGATTTCTGCATGTGAAGGTTATTATGAGAACCAAATGAGTAAATATATGCAAAATACTTAGAACAGATCCTGTAATGCAGAGTAAAGATATAAATACATAGTAGGTAGGAACAAATATTGTGTATAGATACATAGGTAGATACACACATACATACACACACGTATCACATATCACATATCACATATACCATTTTATTTACAAAAGCAGGCTGAGTATGCTATGCCAGTATCAATCATTGTGTTGCATTTCAGCTCCAAATTCACCCTGTCCTGCTTGGGAATACCAAGCTACATCCCATAAAAAGATCTTTTTCCAGCTGTCACAATTTTAGGCTTTGTCAGTAGAGGGCGCCAGAGGGACATTGCAAAACGCAGTAGAGGCCTGGGTTTCTCTTCCGGGTTGTGGTGCTTTTCTTCCTGCTGTTAGGTTGTGGCTGCCAGCAGCTTGTAGAACAACACCCAGTGGTGGTCACCTTCAGGGAACTTTGGCAGCCTCCCAGCAGGCAGCTTCCTGCTCACCAGCTGGGGCTTGCCGGCTACAGACAACTTGAGTGCTCTTGTACCTTTAGCAGTTAGCCTTCTTTTACTAGTGAATAATTCTTCCTATTAAATTTTCCCTTTCAAATTACTGGTGTGGTTTCCATCTCTAACTGGACCCTAACTTTTAGTTCATGCCTATTACCTATCAAATCACTTGTAAAATTTATTTAACCATTCCCCTATTGAAGGGAATGTGAGTTTTATAGTTTCCAGTTTTTGGCTGTTACACACTGTGCAGTGAACATGTGTTTTCATCCACATGACTATTTTTGAAGGAAAAGAATTTCTGGAAGAGGAATGAATTGCTCTGTAATAGGGTTGTGCAATTAAGTCTTTGAAAAATGTTGCAAAATTGCTCTCCCTATAAGGCTGCACCAATTTATATTTCCAATGGTAGAAAATAGTACCCACTTCCCCTCACCCCCAGCAATCTTTTTTTCTTTAACATTTGCTACTCTTAGGAGTAGTGTCACATTGTTTTAGTTTGTTTTGTGCAATTACTAAGGAGAGTGAACATTTTTTCATAACTTCATTGTCAATTTTTATTTCTTCTGTGAAACACTTGTTCATATTCCTTATTCATTTTTTAGTTGGACTGACTGTCAGTTTTTTCTAATTCATAGAAATTCTTTGTTGATTCATTTCTAAAAGTATGCATAGTTTTACAAATTTTATTAAGAGCCTTCATTCTTAGTTGTGCACCAAATATTTTCCCCGATTCATTTCATGTCTTTTTTATGTGATAAAATATACATAACATAAAAGTTACCATTTTCATCATTTTAAGTGTACAGTTCAGTAACATTAAGTACATTGATATTGATGTGTAACCAACCACTGCTTCAGTCTTCATCTTCCTAACCTTCATGGTATATCTTTAAATGCATTCTTTGTGTCTTATATTATACAAAAGTTTTACATTTTTATCTACTTGAATTTATCAACCTTTTCCTTTATGACTTCTGGCTTTTATGTCTTGAGTAGGGAACTTTTTGCTGGTGCTCTATTTCTTTTAATGCCTTTCCAGTTTTGTTTTAACATTTGTATCTTTAAGCTATTTGGCATTTTTGTGCTGGTGTGCATGGTCTGAGGTGGGCTTCTAACTTTACTTTCTGGCAGGTGGAGACCCAATTATCCTAACACCTTT